CCCATGGAGAACAGGGAAAAGCACAGCCCCGACTTACTTCCCCGTACAATGATCTATTCCAATAAACTAGTCATACGGCTGAATAATATCCACATTCGGGGGATCATTTTTCTTTGGAATGGGTACAAATGTGGGTTTCTTCCAGTCAGCTGGCCAAGTAGCTTCCACATTTGCTGGCATGGATGAGTAAGTGCTTCCAGAGCTGCATCCATTTGGGGGAACATTTTCAACGGTTATTCCATCAACTCCCGAGCCTTGTTTCTCATCAATGTCTCCAGTGCAGCTTGGACTTCTTCCATCAGTGCCACTGGTTCTTGATCATATGCCACCTCCTGACACGGGTGCCTGTTGACCTGCTCCTTTTGGTACAGTGACTGCGACCCCTTCCATCTCCTTTGATGCAGCCCGCATGGTTCAATGTATTTGTTTACCTGTAGATTCCTTTAACACTGCAACTTGAGGCTTGAATCTTTTCTTCAGCTCTTTCAGCTGGAGATGCACTAAGCATGCTCCTCCATTCTAGTTTCCTAACTCCAAGTCTTTGTACATTTCATGACAGCATTTTAGTTTGTGTTCTTGAGCCACCTTTGTGAAGTATTCTGGGAATACAGCTGACAGACAGGTAGCGAGATGGGAATACAGGCTCTGAACGTTCCAGAGAAACTTGTATGGGGAAGGAGGTCGGGGCTGTGCTTCTCACTGTCCTCCGTGGGCCCTCAACTGGAGTAATTTGGACCCCTGAGGGACTTTTGGCACTGTTTCGAGACATTTTGTGGCATAAGCAGTTTGCAACTGACAACTAAGCAAAGGGCTGGTGGTTCAAACCTACGGTCATCTGCTGTCCCTGAGAAGACGGCCAAGAAAGCCCCCTGGAGCCTCAGCTGTTCTCTGGAACACGGCTGGAACCAACTCACTGGCAACGGGCTTGTCTTGGTTTGGGTTTGGGCTACTCACTGGCAATGTGCTTGCATTGTGGTTGTCACAATTTGCGGGTGAGCGGGGTGGGGAGTGCTGCCAACACCTAGTGGGTAGAAGTCAGGGGTGCTGCTCCAAAACATATTACATTACACAGCACAGCTCCACCCGCCCACCCAGCACAAAAGGATCCATCCTCAATGGGCAATGGTGCCAGGGCCGGAGATCATCTTAATGATTTTGACTATGTGAATGTAGCCTTTAAAAAAAATGTCCTCACACAAAATAAAGAAAACGCTTTAACAGCGACAGCTCACATGCCATGCCAACTTTGCAGCTTATGGATAAATAATAAAGATGAGCATCCTGTACAAATAACCTCCTGATTTTCCAGAGGAGCCCTGGCGCCCAATGGTTAAGCACTCAGCTGCCAACCGAAAGGCTGGAGGTTCCAACTCACCCAGCAGCACCGAGGAAGAGAGGCCTGGCGGCTGCTCCTGGCAGGAGGACAGCTAAGGGCACCGGTGGGGTGGTCCCCCTCTGTCACACGGGGTCCCATTGCCTTGATGGCAACAGGACTGGTTTCGTTTGGGGGGAGAGCCGGGGAGACTCGGCGGGGTGGGGGTGGGATAGATGCTGCAGTGTAACTGCAGCCCCAGTTGGGGGGGCCACTGAGCTGGCAGGATCTCGGGGCACACAGCATCCCAGAACTGTACAGATGTCATTTACGGGGCCAACTGCAGTCAAATAACCCGAATGTGATTCAAGGAGCAGGGCCTCCCTGACCAACTGGGGAGGGCTGCTGTGGGGAAGGGCGGGCGGGACCAACAGTGACATCCCATGGCCCTCCCGCTGCACATAAGAGAGCCTGGAGCCAGCCAGGTAAAGGGACTGCCTCAGGGTGAAACACTGAACGGGGGCAGACGGCAATTCTTTCGAAGAATCCGGGGCAGAAGAGTGAATCACAGGACAGCATCTCTACTTCCCACTGAATTGGACTTGAGTCATGGAGGGTAGATGAGCCCCTGATATACAGAATCTTTAAACCTGACACCCAAAACAACTTCTGAAGCTGTGCCCCCAACCAGAGCTTAGCTTAATTTGTAAAGGAAACAGTCTGCCTTGGGCATGATGCCCCTTGAAGAGGAACCCTGCTGAGATCGAAGAGGCCAGAGCAAAGGGATGACTGGATTGGCACCACCGAGGGCGGTGAGTTTACGTTCGTGGGGGAAGAGCAACTCACAGATGGAAGGTGAGCGTGGTTTTACGGCTCAAAGGATGCAGCCGGTGTCCTTGGGTCCCACGTGTAGAACCTGTTCAAAGGATGATGGTGTGCCGTGGATTCTCTCGGCAGCAACCAAAGCCCACAGGACATGTTTAAAGCCCCAAACAGAAGCCGTCCTCCAGGCAGGGAGCTTGCTCTCCTGGACACTCTAGTCAGCACAGGTTCTGGCCCCGGGAGACCGCAGGCGGAGGCTGACCGAAGCCGGTGTCAGAAGGGAAGCACGCTCCGCACAAGTTGTTCAGAAGGCGGGGGCTCTGAGGCATTCGAGTGCCACACGTTTAGCAGGCTAATAAGAAAGGAGTGGATTTACACAAAGGTGTGCTGCTCGTCCGCCATCTTTTTCCAGAAGAATTGATATTTGCCAGTGTGACTAAGGAGTGATACTCTTGATTGGCACGACATGAAAACCAAACAAATGAATGACCTCAGTTAATCACTTAAAGACAGAAAGCCAAAAAGCAAACACAAGGGTGATCCAAAGTCCCCCTCAATGGTTTTTATCTGTTATCACACGTGCTGAAAAGGTGTCTGTGGTCCATCTTTACATGGTCCACTGCTTGGGGCCAGCTTTGTAAAAGGAGCTGCACAGGGATAAACCCACTACCGCTGAGTCACACCAACCTGCTGGGCAGGGCAGAGCAGAACGGCCTTGGCAGGTCACTCTGGATGGCACAGAAAACCTGATTGCTTCCCTGAAGGGCTGCTGGGGGGTTCCCACCTACACCTTGCAGTTACCAGCCTCGGGCGTAACCCCCTCGTCACCAGGGCTGCTTGCAGTGGGCTAACTCACTCACTGCCATGAGTCAGTGCTGACTCACCATGACCTAAGGACAGGGTAGGCTACCTGTGGGTTTCCACAACTGCAACTCTTTACAGGAGGAGGAGGAGGAGGAGCAGGCCCTACTGGTTTCAACTTTTGTGCTTGCAGTTAGCAGCCTGACTCGTAACCAGGGCTCCTCTTGTGCACTGGAATAGACCCTTTACAATTGCCTGGGACTGGGTACTGGTGTGTACTCTGCAGCGAAGATCACAAAGGCAACACGAGGACCAACTTAAGTGGGCTGCAAAAGTAAACTACATCCCTGCCCTGTATTGCCGGCACCGATGCGTCGTCACAATGCCGACCTTAATGCGTGAACCCAACGTAAGAGAGGACACCCGCCTCGTATGGCTCCATGGAAACCTATCGGGAATATTTTAGAACGTCCACATTTGCATCGGGATCGGAGGAAGACTCGGGCAGATGACACGACCTGGCTTGCTGAAAGCCAGGAGGAACTCGGGATCCTTGCTGGTGAAGATCACACATCGCAGCCTTCGGTGTGGATGGCAACTTAATGTAAAGACAACCATTGGACCAATAGGCAACATCGGGATAATGAACGAAAGCAGCAGCTATCGAGGATTTCCTCGTGCTTGGATCCACAAGCAACACTCACGGAAGCAGCCGTCAAGAGATCAAATGAGGCATTACATTGGGCAAATCTGCTGCACAAGATCTCTGTCAAGTGTTGAAGAGAAAGGGTGTCACCTTGCTGACTGAGGTGCACCGGACCCAAACCATGGTATTTTCCATTGCCTCGTGTGCGTGTGAACTTGAAAAAAGAAGTGATGCACTTGAACTGTGGTGCTGTGAAGAACACCGCAGGCACTGCCACAAGAACAGACAGGTCTTCTAAGATGTGTGGCTACGATGCTCCTCAGAGGAGCATCTCATGTGCTTTGGACAGGTTCTCAGGAGAGACCAGACTCTGGAGAAGGACATCATGTTTGGCAAAGTAGGAAAAAACCTACTGCCATCAAGTGCGATTCCAACTCACAACGAGCCTGTAAGAGAGGGTCAAACTGCCCCTGTGGGGTTTCAAAACTGTAACTCGTTAAGGGAACGGCAAGCCTCATCGTTCTCCCAAGGTAAAGTCAAGGGGTCAGCATGAACGAGGAAGACCCTCAACAAGATGGATTGAAACAGAGGCTGTCGCAATGGGCTCAAACGTGTAACCATTGTGAGGGTGGTGCAGCACCGGGCGGTGTTTCTCGCTGTTGTGCGTGGGGCCATCGCCACCATCAGAACCAGCTCAACTCAGCGGCACCGAACCACCACCACCACGCCCGTGTTTTTCCTGAAAAGATACAGGCAGACCATCCGCGTGAAGGAGGGGCTGGAGTGCGCAAGGGGGAGACCGTGTTCTCGTTTTAGAACTCTCTCTGTGGCTTTTTCAAAGCACAGACAATACATATTTGTGGAGCGCACAATCGGCATTGTTGTAGCACCACGGATACAACGAACGGAAAAGCCTCGCTCTGCTGGAGCCGACAGCCTGAGAGGGAGAAACAGACCGTGAACACAATGAGTCCGTGTGCTCGGCAAAATTCCACTCAAAAGGCAGTTCATGGGTCACTGCCGCCGAGCGGCACTTAGTGTCCAGTTGGCACAGCATAGAGAGGCAGTGCCAGGAAGCAGATGAAGGATGGCATCACGCTCACCATGGAGTTCTGCTGACACCTTTTTCTTTGCAAGAAGACTTCTCCAAGAAGGAAGTAGACAGTACTGGTTTACCCTGTGGTGCAAAACCCAACCTCACAGGAGACTCAGTATACCAGTTCCCAAACTGGCTACTTTGGGCATTCCTGCACTAGAGGGTTTCAAGAACTCTGAACAGCCGCTTTGTTACGAAGGTGCTTTCCATAATAAACATTAAAAAAAGGAAGTGGTCTGACTGAGCTGGTGAACTCCTAAAGATATCGAACCGCGAACACCAAAGGAAACGACACAGGCTAGGATCAACGCAGCTTCACTCACCAGGAAAGGTGTGCAGACCCAGGTGAAGGTCCCCACGGCTCCCAGGTAAGCAGACTTCTTCAGGACCTTCAGCTCCTCCTGCCTTATGCCCAACACCTTCTCCTTGAAAGCCAGCTCCCAGGCGTACAGCTTTAAAACCTTGATGCCGTTGAGAATTTCATTCATCAGCTTAATCCGGTTGTCTTTGCTCTTCATGTGCGCCACCTTGGAAGAGATGGGACAGCCAGTGAACACTGTGTCGTCCGGTAAGGGTAAGGGGAGCCGCGCCTAGCCACTTGCTTCTGATCCTGGAGCCAGGTGTCTCCGCGCCCACAGGGTAGTATCACATGACAGCAGCCTCTACCAAGAGGGGGTCATCCCAAGGGTGGGAAAACTGACTCTTGATCAGGAAGGAGTCCAAGACGGTGCAGAGGTCTAGCTGCTAAGCTGCCATCTGAATGACCAGAGGTCTGTGCTCGTTCCCAGGCATCGCAGAAGAAAGGCCTGACGGTGCATGCCTGTGAAGACCAGGCACGCACACCAAGATGGCACCGTTCTCTGACCCGCAGGGTTGGCACGATCTGGCATCAACCCCATGGCGACTGGTATCTAGGAGGGTGCTTCAAAAGTTCATGGGAAAACGGAATAAAAACATCATGGGATTTTTCAAACTTTTTGAAGCCTCCCTCTTTACCCAGAGACCTCTCCAAAACCCAAACCCATCTCAGCTGAGTCAGTTCTGACTCGTAATGACCCTGGAGGACCCCGCCCGTAGGACATCCATGGTTCTGTTATTGCTATGGAGGCAGGTGGCTACGCCTTTCTCCCTCGAATCCTCTGGTGGTTTCAAACCTCCCACTTTGGGGTTAGCAGCCGAGCCCTTTGACCACTGTGCTGCCCCGGGGCTCCTGAGACCACTCTTTGAATCAGGGTGAGGTAGTTTACTGTGCCAAACTGGCCAATAAACACATGTGGGTGAATTGAAGGGCGGAGGGATAAATGGCTCGGTGAACCTCGCCTTGAATTCTTGGGTCTCTTGCTTTCTGAGAGTGGGACCAGGGTGCAGCTGCTTTAGCAAGTTCCCTGCTTCAGCTTGCAAGGCTGACTTTCTGCAAGACATCCCTAAGGAGAAGCCGCATGGACCTACCCCAATGCAGCCCTGGGCACTGGAGCAGCCGCGGGGAGACCCCTGCCAGCGCTGAGATGCGTACACGTTCATTGACTCGGCTTTCCTCCTGCAGTCGACATCATAGTGTGTGTTTTGTGAGATGGAGGAGGACTTCATGGGTTGGTGTCGGACATATGGGTTAATGTTGGACTTGTGGGCTTGGGCAGCACTGGGTTGGGATGTTTTTTGGATGTGCACTTAACCTTTAGATAAAACTCTCTTGTATACGTAACAGTTTCTGTGGATTTGTTTCTCTAAAGTATGCAGACTAACACACAGGGTGAGTGAGATGTAGACTGCTGAGCCCAGGAATACACAGCAAGACAGACTTTCAGTGTCAAGAAAGGAAGTGGCACAGGACTTGTTCTGCTCATTCAGGCACAGGGAAGAGGTTGGGATTTTATTCTCCATTTTCTAAGTTTCCTGCTCGATCCTCACCCAGAATGTGGCTGTTCAAGTGTCCAGGTACTGAGATATTTCCAGGCCAACTGACACTGGGGCTAGTGATACGTGACCATGCTGTGTAAATATTCTTAAGGTCACCCAGCATTCTCCATCCCCCCGGGCCCGGCTCCAAGCGTCTTACAACAAGCCTATTGTTAAGGGCACAGATAGGAACCAGCGCACAGTACACCTTGGAAGCCAGCCAAGGAAGCGTTTCAGAGGCAGGCCACTCAGGGAAACTTACACCTTCCGTGTCAGCCTCTCCACCATCCTCCCCGATGCAGCCCTGTCTCCCACCCTCCTGGAACTCGGCACCCCTGCGGTTCCATCAGAGCTGTTGCGGGCTTTCATGTGACACTGCCCAGCCCACCACCAGTGCCCATCCACCCGGGAATGGAGAAATAAGCACTGTCGCCTCTGCGGTGCCCCGCCAGGCTCCAGTGCCAAAGAACGAAGGCAGAATGTGGCGTGACACAGAACAGTCCCCACCGCGTGGTGTGAGATGACAAAATTATGCTGCAGGACAGGCCCGCCTGTATGAAAACACACGGTACCAATGCCACACACGCACAGACGCGCACCCCAGACCGAGCTCTGCGTTCATCGGATCCACATACGAGCGTGTGAACATTCTAGAAGAGCCAGCTTCCAGGTGTCCACAGAGACAACAAAGGCTATTTAGTCTATAGGCATGCACTCTATTATGGACTTAAAAAAATTTAATATTCAAACAGCCTTGAAAAACTACGAGGCAAGCACAGTGTCCAGCAGAAAGGTCAGAGTATTAACCGGCGAAAGCAACAGACGAGTTATTTTTACACAGCTCTTGAAAACCTTCATACACGTGTACATGCGGGCTTCAAAAAGGTCGTGGGAAAGTTCTATGATCGTTTCATTCCATTTTTCTACAAACTTTGTGAAGGCCCCTGGTACATGAGTACTCAAACCAAAGCCCTTGCCGCCACAGGTAGGTTCCAACCCCTAGCTACTCAATGGGACGGAGTAGAACCGCCCTGTGGCATTCCCAAGGCTGCCATCTTTTTGGAAGCCGAAGCTGGTGAGTTTCAACAGCTAATCTTTCGGTTGGCAGCCAAGCAACTTCATCGGGTGCCGCTAGGGATACATACATACACGTGAATCAGTTCCATGGGAAGTAAAGTATCAGGACTCACAGGCGTGGTGACTTAAATCGCTGACTCTTTGGGGCCGATTCAGGAGTCCTCAACTGTGGCCACCCATCAGAACCCACCTAAGAGTTTGAAAAATCCCAGTAGCCAGGAGGCCGGAGGGTCTGCATCTGTCACAGCTCCCCGAAGCAATTCCAACAGACAAGGAAAGCCGAGAACCTCAGAGCTCGGGCAAACACCACATGGCAAAGCCTCAGCCCAGGGCCCAGCCGGGGCTCTGTGGGGACAGCTATCCTACCTGGTAGGTCTTGGTCTTCATCGCCATCACTGCATTGAGCGGAACCATGAGGACCATCACAGCCACTCCGGCCAGGACAGGCGGGCCCAGGGTCTGAGGAAGGAAAGGGGACTCATTGAGGATGAGGGGCTGATGGCATGCCCCGCTTCGGTTATGTTTGGAGAACTGTCACGGCTGTTTTCCAATAGTGGGAGTCAGAGTTTGCAAATGTACTCTTCTCCTGGTATCTCTCCAACCCCTTTAACAGGATGCAGGCCCCCCAGCCCCTTCTCGGGGACTCCTGAGGCCAAATAAGTCTTGCAAATGAAAACTTCAGTATTTTAGAGAGGGACCAAAGGGCTGTGCCAACATCACTGAACAACCTGTACCGAGACTGCCAAATGGGGACTCATTTGCTCTGTACACAGACCAAGAACACAGGAAAATATCACTTCATAAACAAAAAAAAAGCCCCCCTCGCCGGACAAATCTTAGAAAGCTGATGAAGGGGGCCTCTTGGAACTTGAATTTCAGGAGAGCTCCCACCATCTCAGAACTGATGAGTGGTCCCTAAGTCCTAACCGACCAGAGAGCCCTGGTAGCACCCTGGTTAAGCCCGCGGTTGCCAACTAGAAGGTCCGCAGTTTGAGCCCACTGGCTGCGCCACAGGAGGAGGAGGAGGCAGTCTGCTGCCATAAAGATCCGAGCCTTGCAAGCAGTACGCAGCAGGTCTACTCTGTCTTACAGGTGGCTGTGGCTTGGAATTCTCTTGATGGCAATGGGCCGGGGGTTTCTGGCACCCAAACTGTTTGTTCAAACAACATGGCGTGTGCCAAATTACTCGTCTTCCTCCAGGGAGTCTGGTGTTTGGGAACTGGCCCAGTCGAGGCTGCCAACACATCCAGGCCTGGATGAAAACCTTGGGCCCTGAGTCTCTAATGAGCTTCCCTGGTGACAACATTTCAGACGTGTACATGAAACTCACTGCTGGGGGAATCGTGCGTCCTCTGAGGCTCCAGCCTGAGCAAGGGCCTTTAGGAACGCACGCCTGGTGTCCCCCAGACTTGCCGCATCTTTCCACTGCCAATTCTGCGGTGAGTCTTTTGAGGGATGAATTACAGCCCTGAACGCAACTAACCGTGAGCTCGAGCTCACAAGCCTGGGGGGGGGGGGAGTGTCTCGGAGAACCACACACAGGAACATGGGCCACCGGCTTCAAGCAGCACAATCACCACCCAGACTAGACCTCCTGTCCTCGAGTCGATATGACTCAGAGCCACTCGGACAGGACAGAGCACAACCGCCACAGAGGTGTCCCTAGGCTAGAATCTTTATCGTGCAGCCTGCCACCCCGCAGGCTCCCCTGCACAGGGCCCACGGGCTAGAAACGCTAACCTTTCGGAGGTCACCACCCCATCATGGAATGCACCGCTTTCCTTAGAGCAGAATAGGAATGTTCACACTTGGCATCACTGAGACTAGAGACGCTCTCATGTCAGGCCAGGTGACCTTTGCAGTTAGGAATTGCAATGAGCATCTGGGTGCTTCAGCAGTGTCCCACCTGGAATCCCTCCTCCGGCCTGGGTGGCAGAGAGGTGGGGTGGGGGGGGTCCAACAGTCAAGTCACTGTGGACGTGATGGCTGCCACTGTTTCTCTCTGGTGCCAGGCATGATGTGAGTCGTTGCTACTGGTGCCTTCTTGGGCCTTAAACAGCCCGCAGGCCGAGCATGCCCACCCCGGCTCTAGCCTAGGAAGTCAGGTCTGAGAGATGTGACCGGCTCCGTTCAGAACTCAATGGAGCAAGGACAGCAATAGAAAGTGTCACGTGCATTTTTGGGTGTCGCGTGCATTTTGGGGTGTCTCGGATGCTCACCCAAGAGTGCCAGCTACGAAGTGTGCGTGGGCTTCAGGAAAAAAGCTGGGAGGTCAAGAAACTCGGCAAGTTGACCCAGGAAGGGGTCCCCCACGCAGTGGGAAACACAACGCTGACAGACCTGCTGGATGCAGGGTTGCCTTACCCCATCCATTTATTTAGAAAGCACGGGACCTGCAACGTGTGATGTGGCTGCACCGTCTGACTGGTCAGACATCCATATGTCGCCCCACAGTGGTTGCTTTCCCCAAGATGTCCAGAGACATCTTCACTGTCGGCCTGGGCTAGGGGGCTGCTGAACATCCTGTCATGCGCGGGACACACATGCATGTGCATGAACATGCACACTCTCCCACCCCACACCCAAACAGGGAGTTAACCACAGAATCAACACTGTGCAGGCTGGGCAACCATCATTCAATCCACACACAATGCCCAGAAAACTCGATGGTTCACAAGCCACAAAATAAGTGTCCCCAGAGCACTGGTGGCTGTGTCAGCATCTCCCAGGGAATGGTCACCCCTAGGTGTCTGTCAACCTTCTGCTCTCTATTATAAAGGGGCATCAAAAGCTTTGTGGGCAACACCATGACCTTTCCACTGCACTGGGAATGAACTCTTGGAAGCCCCGGTCATACGCTGCAAAATGGAGACAGCAGTAGACTCGGCAGCTCATCGGCGGCGCTCCTGTGAAGCAGCAGCCCCGCAGGAAGGCACCCACAAAACTGCCTGCCCATGAGATGCCTGCCCACGAAGAGCAAAGAAGAGGCCATGCACCAACAGGCAGAGGCCAATTTCGGAAGGTGAGGGCCTCCGCTAAAGTCACCGACCGGGGTTCAAAAATAGGGAGGATGTTCATCTGATTGACAGGAGGAATTCGGTGGTATATGACAGGCCTTGAAAGATGTCAGCCTAGAGGTGAAGGAGAAGCAGGTGCAAAGGCTCAGAGGTGGAAAGAACAAGGCAGGTCTAATAGGATCTTTGCTCATCATTTTTCAGGTGGGAGGGGAACCTGTCTCTCTCCAGTTGGAAGGCTGTGAATTACAAACCCATCATCTCTTGGGGGGGGGGGAGGCACGTGACTCAGACTGGCCAACCAGAGAACTCGGCCTCCTAATCTACTGTGATTGGTCCAGGGACCGTCCTTCTCAGGTCTCTGGATAAGGAAAAGTGACCGTGGCATTTCCTCTTCTCTGGAAAGCAAATACTTGTCAAGATTATATAAGCCCGCAGCTAAGGCAGCTACTGGGAGAAACGGAACTGGGGGGATGAAGCAGAAAACAGGTCCAGAAAGGATGGAGAGAGACCAAACCCTTCAACACTGCTGTTACTCCTGGATGCATCTATGCCTAATGCTTGCTTTCTCTGAACTTGTAGGAGTTTTACATACCCCTAAAGGTCTCTTTAGCTGTTTAGACTATTTTAAGGTGGACTTATAGCTCTTGCAACCGAGAGATTCATGATAACCATCATTAGAGACTAGAGAACAGATTTGGGCTTGTGTTTGAAAGGACACGGGGTCGGGGTGGGGGCCACATAATGGCTGTGTTATAAGGCTGTAAATTGCATGCGCTGTCACAAATGAACCAGCAGGCCAACAAAGAGAACCACCAACCACACAACATGGGCAAGGGGCAAAGTCTCGACGAATCGACTCACAGGTAGAAAAGGACCACGTGCCCGGCACGACGGATGTCCGAGGAGCTACACATGTTCTGACCATCCACCCCCACCCCTTCCCCACAGCCCCCATGTGGAGGGATGGCAAACACGCACCAGCCACAGGAGGTAGAGAGCAAGCATGACTTGCAGAGGCGCTGACCAGACCATGTTAATATACGTGGCCAAGTCCATGAACCGCTGGGCGTCTACAGACATGAGGTTGACAATCTCCCCGACCGTGGATGACTTTCTGGCTGAATTGGTGATCACCAGGGCCTGCAGAGTAAAGGAGAGGGAGATGGTGAATGTGGTGGGCTGTGAGCCCCGTCCTCTCCCTTCAGAATCACCGAGAGGAAAGATACTGCTCAGCAGGGAAGAGGTCACTGACCTGCCCCCTTCCTTGCCAGCTCCCGTCTGCCCAGCCGGTGAGATAGGATCTCACCACAAAGCCCAAGAGTTGCAAACATCCACCAATAATTAGAACATGAAATCTGCAAAGTATGAATCTAGAAAATTTGGAAGTCGTTCAAAATTAGATGGAATACGTAAAGATTTCTAGCAGTGAGAGTTAGGTTGTGTCAACTTGGCTGTGCCAGGTTTCTCAGGAGTTTGGCAGTGATTCCCATGATGTGATCTAACATGGTGTAATCAACTCCACGATGGGGTGTAATCTGACATCATCAACTCTGTGAGCGGCTGGCAGGTGTGGTGGAATCTAGCCCCCTTGATCAGGTCAGGCCAAAGCCTCGATGCAATTAGAAGAAAATCTCCTAAGGAATGTGGCTTGCTCCTTTTTAAGCAGACTCCATGGGAAAGCCGCTCACGTCTGCTGGGCTTAGATCCTGCATCTGGTTTATCAACCTCCCGCAACCCTGTCTGCCGATACCTGGAGCCACAGCAGACTGCTGACCTAAGATTCATCCAGCTCTGCACCCACCATCTGCGGCCCTCCTGCTTCACAGTGGATCAGCCCCACAGCTTCAGGAGTCAGGAAAAGCCTCCAGCCAACTTCTGATCCATGGACTTGACTGGATTAGACTTACTCACTTACACAACCATTTCTTGATAAACATCTCTCTCTACACCACACACACACACACACATACGACTGGGTTTGCTTCTTTAGAAAACCCAGCTTCACACAAGGTCCCAGGTATTTCTGTTGGTCATGTTAGGTATCACTGAGTCAGCCTCAATTCATGCCAACTCTACTAGGACTGGCATGGACCATTCTAAATGAGAAAGTCACATGGTCTACTACGCCAGAAATTAAAAATGGAGGTTATGACATTGCATTCACCATCAAAATTTTTTTCAAGATCTATCCTGAAGTACAGTATTGTCAGTGATAGGACAATATCCATACCTAAAAAGAAGACCAGTTCATAGGTCTATTAGTCAAATGTATGCACCAACCGTTACAGCCAAAAACGAGGAAATGGAAAACTTTTACCAATTTCTGCAGTCTGCAATTGATCAACTGTGCAATCAAGATGCATTAATCGTCCCCGGTGATCGGAATCCGAGAGTAGGAAACAAGAATCAGGAGGGAAAATATGGCTTTGATGACAAGAACAATACTGGAGATCACATGGTAGACTTCTGCAAGACCAATGACTTCATTACAAATACTTTTCTAAAAATTTAATTTTAAAAGTTCTTTTATCGACGTATTTCACATATCGTAAAGTTCAAAAGTTCAAACATATTAAAAAGAGTTGTGTATTCATGACCACAATCAATATCAGAACATTTCCTTCTTTCTTGTACTCCTTGTTATTAGCTCCTCATTTCCCCTTCAACTTCAAGAAACTATTAATCCAGGTATTATCTCTATAGATTATCTATCGTGGATTTCATACAAAGCAAAACATGGGAGGGAGGGAGACAAAACAAAAACACAACAATAACAAAAGAAAACAGGGAGGGAAAAACCTCAAAAGGATAAAAACGTAGCACAGTGGTTACACATTGGGCTGCCAACTGCAAGGTAAGCAGTTTGAGATCACCAGCCACTCCTCAGGAGGAGGAAGAGGCTTTCTACTCCTGTGAAGAGCTGCAGTCACGGACACCCACAGAGGGAGCTGTCCGGTAGGGTCACGCTGAATCGGAACCGACTGACGGGGGTGGGTCTGGTTCTTTTTTTAGACAAATTTAATATGCGCAAAAAGGGAGAACAAATGATACGGTGTTCTTCGAATTACGTCTGCGTTAGTACATTTTCCAATGCGTTTGTCTAATAGCATATCAATGGTCAGAGGGGATTCACTAGAGGCTTAGTCTACGTGGGGAACTTGCAAATGGGCTTTAGGGTTTCCCTGTCATCTGTAGCCTTCGCAACGTGGGTGCTCCAAATCTAAGCTCCAGTACTTTCCCTCCAGTCCTAGATTTGATGATTGACAATCCTTGGACCACACAGGCTGGTGTGCTTCTTCTGTGTGGATTTGGCTGACATATAACTTAGACAGCTTCTTGTTTTAAGACAAGCCTTTCAGACTATTATTTCTAATAGCCAGGCACCCTCTGATTTCTTCACCACACTTTGCTAAAGCACCCATATCTTCAGTGATCTCTTCATGAGGGCGAGTATCGAGTAGGGTCTTATAAGAGATAATTGCTCTTACACAATTAAGTTCAAGCTCAAAATTCACTCATGTCCACTTTAGAGATATCATTATCCTCTTATTGGGGAACATTGTAAATCACCTCCATGGGGCAATATGGTAATTCTACTGATAGCATCCTTGATTTAGCCCATGTTATAAAATTTCAAATACTATTTTACTGATATTTTTAACAAACAACAACTGTACATGTAGACTTGGCAGATATACTATACAGGAATCAAACAGACTATACTTGTGGAAAGACGAAATGGAGAAGCTCAATCTCACTGGTCAGAACAAGAGTAGGGTCAACTGTGGACGAGATCGTCCATGTGCAAGCTCAAGGTGGAGCTGAAGAAAACCAAACATGTCCACAGAAATCCAAACACGACCTTAAGTATACTCCACCTGAATTCTGAGACCCCCTTAGGAACAGATTTAACACAATGAACACTCATGACTGAAAACAAGTGAGTTGTGGGATGACTTTAAGGTCAACAGACATGAAGAACAAGGTCATGAAAAATACTGGGGGTAAAAATAAAGTCCAAAATTGACGGCAGAAGAAACTCTGAAATTTACTCTTGAATACAGAACAGCTAAAACAAAAGGATGAGATGAGGCAGTAAAAGGACTGAACAAAAGATTTCAAATGGCAGCTGGTAAAGACAGAACTGTGAAAGGCAATGTGCAACAGGCTGGGGACAGAGAACCAAAGCGGAAGAGCAGGCTGTGCATTTCTCAAGCTGAAAGAATTGAAGAAAAAAATTCATGGCTCAAAATACAACGTTGAAGGATTCTATGGGCAAACGATTGAATGGCTCAGGAAACACCATAAAAAGATAAAAGGAATACAGAGTGACTGTACCAGAAAGAATTGGTTGACTCGACAGCACTTACAAGAACAACCACAAAAAAAGGTAACTAGAATTAATAAAAGGAATTCAGCAAGGTGGTGGGGTTTGCGGTCAACACACAAGAATACTGATGTCTGATATCCTGATGTAGTTGCTCTGGGCGGTCACCTGGGCATCAGGAGTTCTTTGAGCTCTTTAAGTGATTCTAATGTGTTAAGAGGGGTCAATGTTGAGACCCCTCCCTGGTTTCGTCCATGCAAGACATTATGTTCTTAACCTACAAGCCTAAGCAGTACTCTTGCTTCAAGGAACTGAGACAGTAACCTAGTTCCTTTCAAAGTAGATGAGCTCCAACACATGGAATCCAGGACAGACAAACTTCTCAGGTACAGTAATGGGATACCATGAAGGTAGGGAGAAAGTGGGGGTAGAAGGGGGAGAGAGGGGGAACTGATCACAATGATCGACATACAACCCCCCCTCCTCACCGAGGGGGGCAAACAGTAGAAACGTGGGTGAAGAGAACCAGTGGATGTTGTAAGATATGAAAATAATAATAATCTATAAATTATCAAGGGCTCATGAGGGTGTTGGGAGGGAGAGAAAAAAGAGTGGATACCAGAGGCTCAAGTAGAAAGAAAATGTTTTGAAAATGAAGACGGCAACATATGCACAAATGAGCTCGATACAATTGATGTATGGACTGTTATAAGAGCCGTAAGAGCCCCCAATAAAATGATCTATTTAATAATAATAAAAAAAGGAGATGAACACAATGATGAAACTGTTTTTGAAAAAGATCCCGAGTCCCTTCAATAAACCGCGTGGGCCAAGTGCAATTTTTATGCAGCAAGATGAAACTGGATCCTTGCCTCACACAACAGCAAATTCACAATGTCTTCAGGACCTAAAAGTACAAACTAAAATCATAAAAGTTTCAGAAGAACAAGCAAGAGCAACACTGTCAGGGCTAGCGTCCAACCGCAGATCATCTAAGACAATCACAACAAGTACAGACCGCAAGGGACCTCAATAAAAATAAAAACGTTTGCTCCTCCAAAGATTTTACCAAAAACAGTCAAAAAGCCACGAGTCCAATGGAGAGAGACGACATCATCTAGCCAAAAGCTTATCATCAAAAGTCTATATGTCTATGAAACCTCAACCACTAACAAAACTCCCAACATCACAGAATGGACACAGGACTCCAACAGTCATCTCACGCAAGGGCATTCAAAAGCTAACCAGACAACCTGCAAAGATGCTGAGCATCCTGGGCCACCAGAGAGATGCAAATCAAAACCAGTGAGCTACCACTTCACTCCCTCTAGGTTGGCTGGAGCCCTGGTGGTTGGCTGGAGCCCTGGTGACACCGTGGGCTAACTGTGGGGCTGATAATGGCACAATTGGCAGATCCGGCCCCAGCCACTGCGCCTGCCAAGATTCAAGTCTCAGAAACCCTATGAGTCACTAGGAATCGGTAGCAGTGGGTATAGGTTGGCGACAATTAAAATATAGTAACAAATGTTGATGAAGACATAGAGGCGACAATTGTTCTCTATTCCCCTGGGAGGAAAGAGGAAGGGCAGTCAGGAATAGAAGGCGGATACGGAACGTGTGCTTCCGTGAACTGCCACCTTCGCCATGAGGTCAGACGATCTAGATGTGCCTGCTACCATTACTGAAGACTTGGATCACAGATTCCATAGAAGAATCAAAAGGCAATACTGCAGATCAGAATGTCAAATCCTCAAGGAGTCTACATTTTCTGGCACTATGGAGGCGAGTTGTACCCCTATAAACTACTGACCTGAGATAATTTTTAATCTTAAACCAAAAACACCCAGTGAATTCATCATAAAACCAAATCATGGTTTAGCTTAACTAGTAAACAAATGTCTGCCTTGAGCCTTTTGCTCTTTTTAAGGTCTATCTATATGGGTCATCAAATGGACAACAGCAATTTGAAAAATTAGATAGGAACCTTAGCTGGGTAAAGAGTTTATGTTATTGGTGGAGAAACAACCCAAAAAGAGGGTGAAAATGATTGCCCCAAACTCAGAATGTGTTCATCGCCATGGGCGCGAGAGCAAAGTGTGGTGAAGAGATCAGACAGAGCCTGGCTATTACAAAGAATAGTACCTGGGGTCATAAATTCTTAACTTAAGCAGTCATCTAAGTGATGTGATGGCTACGTCCACCTGGGAAAGCACACCAGCCTGTGTGATCCAAGGATGATAAACAATAGAACCCAAATCTGGAGAAGGGAATGGTATCAGAGCTTACATTCTAAACTCCTAATTTGCAGAAGGCTAGGGATGACACTGGAAACCCCAAATCCTTTCGCAGGATTCCCACAAGGATCAAACCTCTGGTGAATCCCCTCTGACCACAGCCCAGGGATGTGAACAGCCTTGGACATACAGAGAGCATTACAAAGTCAATTATGGCAGATGTAGTTCGGTTAAAATGTAATACCTAATCATGTGATCTTTTTGACCATTTTGAAATTTGTTCCAGTTTTTAATATTTTCTGCTTTCTTTTTGATTAAGCTTTTTTTTTTTATCATTAGTGTTGTTCTTTTCTTTTCTTTGTTTTCCCCTTGATTTTATTTTAAATAGCTTTTTTTCCTGTATAAGAAATCCAGGAGAGGTATACTTGAGACACAGTAACTACATTAATAATTAACTAGGGACACAGCAGGGGAGGTTTGGGGGAATGGGGAGCCAACAACAATTAACTACAAGAAGGAAGAAAAGTGTCTAACATTGACTATGGTGATGCTTGCCCGATTCTTGATGTGGCTGAACTAGGATATGTGAATTCTATGCCAATAAGGAAAAAAACAATCGAAGGATGAAAACAAGCCTATCGAGCTAATGGTGGTGGACTGGCTACCCTTCAAGGCCAGCAACTCGAAGCCACCAAGTCTCTGCTCGGGAGAACGATGCGGCTTTCTACTCCTATTACGAGTCAAGGTCTCTGAACCCACAGGGGCAGCTCGCCCTTGTCCTGCAGGGTCACCCTGAGTTGGAACGACGTGATGGCAGTGAGTTTGTTTTTAACAGCAATCAAACCATGAATCAATGTCATGGAACTGTACGTGCGGTAAATGTGAGACCGGCGTATGCTTTGCCATGATAAATTCTCAGCAATGAATACACAATTTAAAGGGGACGAACGGAGTGAGCACCAATGGCTGCTGAGCCCTCAATCACCTGGGGGAGAAACGATGACCTACTCAGCTCAAAATGCCAGGCAGAAAGAGCTCACACACACACACACACAGAGAACTGAGTGAAGACCCGAATCCCCATTTCCCCAAATGACGATCACCCACCCATCGAAGACACTCGGTTACCCGGAGCTGACGTGGGACGCGGGACACTCTCCATGCAACCCCTGCCATCACCCCTGCAGGGTGCAGTCTGCTGTCACGTCCTTGGCACCGCAGGGACACAGACCGGCCAGACTGACTGCTCTGACGGTTAGGCCTGAGGCTCTTATTACGGTGGATTCCATCGTGTGGCCCCAAAATAGGTGTTGGAGACCTAGCAACCCCTGTGGCGGCAGAGGCGATCCCATCTGGAAGAGGGGTTTTGTTCTTGTGTGAACGGAGCCATAGAATATAGAGTTTATCTTCAGCTGAATCACTCCTCAATTAGAAAAGATCAGGCAGAGAAGCAAGCATCTCTCTCGAACCGTGGAGAGGGAGGGACGTCCCTGGAGATCACTATGGATTTGGATGGAAATAAAATCCTAATGCCTGAACCTGTGGTTAAGCAATGCTGGTGGCATGCTGTGGTTACACGCTGGGTTTCCAGAGGAAAGGGGGGTCATTTAAACTCACGGGTCTGTAAGCGAGAGGAAGTTGCGGCAGTTGGCCTCCGTAAAGATTCACAGCCTTGGAAACTCTACGGCAGCTCCACTGTCGCCTAACTCACGGGCAAGGCAACCAGCCTGTAGCAGGTTATCATTCCATTCGGGAATGGATGCTCTTGGTTGCGTTAGCAAGGCAGGATTCGTGTCGGGTGTTTTTAACTGAGCAAGGAAACCAGCAGAGAAGAGGGGAAGACAGACACCTTGTCATAGGACACCAGGAAAAGGAGCTGAGAAGGACCTTCCCCCAGAACCTTCTGTTACAGCTACTGTCCTCAATTCAGGCTTCTGGCCTTACAGGAGCCCTGGTGGGGTGGTGGGTTGTTAACCACGGGTCAGCATAGCAAAAGTGCCGGCTAATCCAGGGGAGAAAGACGCAGCGTTTTTAACGCCGGTGAAGATTTACAGGCATGGAATGGGCTGGGGCAATTCTACTCTGTCCGTACATGGTTCCTATGGGTCAGAATCGACTCAGTGGCAGTTGCGTTTGGTTTACCTTTTTGAGCCTCCGGTGCTGTAAGGGAACAACACGTGTCCGTTTGTTACAGCCACCTCCTTCTGGCAGTTCTGCCGTGGCAGTGGGGGATGCCGGGCTACAGAATGGTGGCCGAGTGTGTTACACTCTGGCCTGCTAACCACCAGGGTCAGCAGTTTGAAACTACCAGCTGCACCATGAGAGGAAGATGAGGCTTTCTGCTCCGATAAAAAGGTCCAGCCTTCGGAAGCTACAGGATGGTGCTAGTGGGTCCTGTACCATCGCTCAGAGTCCAAATCGACTCACAACCGCGAGATGTTGAGGCTGCAAAGGCTGAGAGAAGGACCATCCCCCAAGCTAACAGAAGGAGCCCACTGCCCTATGCGAAGGGCGACCAGGATGGTCTTGGAACAAGTATGGCCAAAGAGTTCCTTAGAGGCAAGGATGGCGGGGCCTCCTCTGCCATACGTGGGACATGCTGTCGGGGGAGAGCAGCCCCTGGAGGAGGCCACCATGCCTGGTAAGTAAAGGGGCAGCCAAGGAGAGGAAGGAGACGGATGGACACAAGGGCTGCGGCAACGTGAGCTCAGGCATGGGCACAACCGTGAGGCTGGCGCCGGACTGGCAGGGTTTCGTCTGTTCTGTTGTGCGTAGGGTTGGGTCGCTGTGGGTCGGAACCGACAACCGCCACCAGAAGCCTGCTCGATGGTGAGAAAGGTCATTTCCGTTCATGGAACCCACCCACTGCTGGGGTTCTCGGATGGCAACGCCAGAAAACCAAGGCAGGTGCCCGAGGCCGTCCCACGAAACCCAACCAGGTCCCCTGTGGTTCGGAGGTGGCACCGGGGTGAGGGTGTGGGGGGTGCAGTGCCCGTCTCACCCACCTTGCGGTAGACGGCCCCGATGACGGCGGTCTTGATCCTCATGCCGCTGACGAAGCAGATGTGGAAGTACTGGTGCAGCACAAGCGTCTGCAGGCAGGCGCTGATGAAGAGCAGCGCCGTGTAGAAGTAGCCCTGCCAGTCTGGGGCCTTCTTGTCGTTGACAAAGTTGATGAGCTGCCTGCGAGGAGCAAGGTCAGAGGCCAAGGTCACAGGGAGCACGCGCGTGGGGAAAGAGCCCTCGATGGGGATCGGCAGCCCAACTTCCTCCTGGGCCATCGGAGGCAGCGGCCACTGCTCCCAGGACAGGCCCATGGAGGGAAGCGAGCAGTCCTGGGGGCCTCCCCCACATTCGACCCCAGCACTGTGAACTTGTCACCCACAAGTTCTTGACACTCTGCAAGGGATCAAATAGAGTGCTAGGGGCAGAGCAGAGTTTGCAAAAGGGGAACAGAAAAATATGTGTGGCCCTTGACAGACGAGACAGAGGAAAAGACCCAGGATTGAGAGAGAAGGAAGAGAAAGAGGAGAGGCAGTCAAAGAGACAAAGGAGAGAAACAGAGAGCGAGAGACACAGGCAAGACAGAGAGAGGCAGCCAGAGAGACAGAGACAGAGCAGCATGGGAGAGGTTAATAGGGAGGATGTCAACTCTGACCTGGTTAGTATGTCATGAGCTCTTCCATGCCCTTGAGATATGTGGACATCTGGATACACACACATTTATCCATGGACACACAAAGGTGCATGGACAGCCCTGATTATCTTTCTATTTCACTTCCCTCCCCAACTCTTTGAGGCCCCCTCGTGTGTACTGTGGGCTCATGGTATAGGAGAGTAATAGGAGACTAAGTAAAAAAGCACCGCTACAAATTCATGGAGACCTTCATGAAACAAGAAGATCCAAACGAGAAGCTGTTGTTTCCCAACAGATGTCCCCTCTCGGTCTGGAAACTCACGGAGGTGTGTCTCCATCGCTCTAACCCTTTCCGGAAGCCTCCTGTGCTCTCTGAGGGACTCAACTCAGGCTCACTTGACAGGTGAGTGTCTTTGAGCCTGAGGATCAAAAGACGTCTCAAAGGTCAAGATCAGGGCTGGAGGTGGATGGAGTAAGGCTGCCCAACACAATTCCCCTGGGACAGCCCTTGCTGCTTTTAAAGAAAGCTCAGGAGCACTGTTAGCATAGAAATTATTTTTTTTCCTAAGAAGCCTCCGTGATTGTCCTGGGTCTTTGAGAAAATCTATCACGAGTGCCTCTCGGGAATCCCAAGAAGTAGTCCACAGAATCTTCTAAACTGACCTCTCTGCAGATTCTCAGCACCCCCCACCCCCACCCCACCCTCCCGCCCGAAGCCACTGTTTTGATTGGACATTTTTTTGGTAGGTACCCTAATGAGACTGCGTCCTATGCACGCTGGAAGAACTTGTCTTTAGCCACGCATTCTTGCGGAGGCGTGTTTCCACCTGCTTGGTTTGCATCACCTGTGCATGGATGAACCAGAGCAGACACACCTTTTTCACTTACTCTCAGGCACCCATAGCCTCCCTATGGTACACAGCAAAACGGGGAGACAAAACTGTAAGCCCACTGGAGCACGCCGCAGGTGAAGTCCCACCAGGGTGGGGCAGAGGAACCCGGCTGGGAGGGCAGGGGTCTTACTTTAAGATTTCTGGGCCGGCAAACATCATCAGGTCATGAATCGCCTTAAATAAGAAGCTCATGAGGAAGTAGGGCCCAAAGGTCTTGTATAACACCTTGAACAGGGATGGGTTCCACTCCTTCTGTGGGGTCTTGACGATCAAAGCCTCGGCCTCCTCCTTCACGTCCACCCTGGAGCCCCCTTTGGGCTTGGCAGGGTCCTTGGAGGAGTACACAATCTTCACCGGCTGCCTGAAAGACAAGGAGTGTGGCCCGGGGTGAGTTCCCTTAGCTATGCAGCTTGATTACCCGCTCCTCCGAGAGGGCAAACCAGCTCACAGGGTGGATAGACGATGGATTCAGAAGCCACAGTTCAGACACGGGCTTCACCACTTGTCAACTGTGCGACCTTAGAAAGGGCCTTAGCCTTCCAAGCTCCTGCTTCCTCATCTGAGAACTAAGGATAAGCAGTAGCTTTCACGGGGCTGCGGTACGGATCATAAGGTGCCATCCCAAACCGACCTAGAAATTCAATGCCATGCCTATAAAATCCCAGCTCATCATTGTGCAGAAACGGACAAGCCAGTCTCCAAATTCCTGAGGGACCAGAAGACCCATAACCATCTTTAAAAAGGACAGGGTGGAAGGGCTCAGAGTCCCCACGTGGCGAGACTTACTGCAACGCTTACTGCAGTCATCTAGAGGTGTGGTGCCGGCACCCGTGTGGACACAGAGATGATCAATGAGGCAGCCGTTCAGAGTTCAGAGCCACTCCCGGCTGATTTTTGACAAGGGTGTCAAGACCATTCTATGGGGAAAGAACCCTCTTTTCAAACACGGGCGCCCTAGTCAGAAGCACAACGGAATCTCTCCGCATCTACCAAGGATGCACCAACACTGAAGAAAACCCAGGGCCTGAAACCCAAGAGGAAATAGATTTAAAAAACGAATTGGATGGAAACAAGCAAATCGTGGACCCTTCGTGAGCCCCGACAGAAGAAGAGACAGATTGACCGCAGAGCCACTGCACCGACCATTCCGAGAGCAGGGAGAAAGCCAACGGAGCCCCAAGCCCCGCTCCCTCCACGTCCCGAGTTTTCGGAGAGGGACAGGCCCACACTCTCAAGTGGACCAAGATGACAGCGTCCGGGTGCAGCTGCCTTAGCAGTTCCCTGCTTCAGCTTGCAAGACTGACTTCCTACAAGACATCCCCAAGGAGAAGCAACATGGACCTATCCCAATGCAGCCCTGGGTGCTGGAGCAGCCGTGTGGAGACCCCTGCTAGTGCTGAGATGCTTGTTCGTTCACTGACTCAGCTTTCCTCCTGCAGTCTGTTTTGTGAGGTGGAGGACTTTGTGGACTGGTGTTGAGTTAATGGGTTAATGTTGGACTTGTGGGCTTGGGCAGCATTGGGTTGGGATGTTTTCATGATGCACACTTTCTTTACATAAAACTCTCTTCTACATGAGTTGCTGTGGATTTGTTTCTCTAAAGTACCTAGACTAATACAATGAACAAACCAAAAAAATAAGAGAAAATATTGAAAACCAGATCAGGCGTAACGTGCATCAAAGGGGGGGAAATCAACTGACAACGGTTTAACCATTCAAGTCAGGTTTATCCTTTTGCCACATCCTCTTTGAATCCAGCCTGAACCTCAGACAGCTCCCTGTCGATGTACTGTTCAACAGTTGTTGGATGATCTGGGATGATGGTTAAGAGCATGTGATACTAATAACATTGTTCAAAATTGTACGTTCTGTTGGGTGACCTTTCTCTGGGATGAGAACCAATAAGGACCTCTTCCAGTCAGCTAGCCATCTAGTGAACATGACGTGAACGGAGAAGAGCCTGTGGGACCTCCAGGTACTGGTGGGGGTGACGCAAACACTGAAGGAATAGCTTCAAACATTAATGAATCATCGGAACGTGGAACGTAGGATGTGTGAATATAGGAAAACTGGAAGTTGTCAAAATGAAATGGGATGCTCAAATTGGTCTATATCAGTGAGCTGATATAGACTGGACATTTGGAATCGGAAAATCACATGGTCTACTATGCCGGTAATGACAGGTCCAGGAGGACTGGTATCCCATTTCGGTTGTCCAAAAGGACATTTCAATATCTCAAAAGTACAGTTCTGTCTGTGTTGAGATAATACCTACTGCATAGAAGGAAATACAGTCAATACAACTCTTACTCAAATTTGTGCACCAACCACTAAAGTTAGTGATGCAGAAAAAAATGGAAGAATTCTACCTAGGTCTTCAGTCTGAAATTAATCAAACATGCAATCAAGATGCATTGATAATTATTGGTGATGAATGCAAAGATTGGAAACGAAGAAGGAACAGTAATTTGAAAATATGTTCTTGGTGGTAGAAACGAAGCTGGAGATCACATGATAGAATTTTGCAAAACCAATGACTTCTTTATTGCCAAATACCTCTTTCCATTTCATCTAGTTTGGTTTTTTTCAAGGGCAGTAAGCCGAATAAATTTGGGAACCTATATTCTAGTGGCTGAATGTTCATTTTGTTACTGTTCTAAAAGCGGAAGATGTTGAGTTAAGGTGCTGACTTTGATATTCTGTTCCGCTTTGATGTTTGCATTTATGTCTATAAATTGCCCTCACAGCCTTATTTTTGGGGTGTGTCCCATAGGATTTGGTACGTTGTATTTCCATTCTCATTTGTTTCAAGGAATTTTTTACTTTCATTCCTTAGTTCTTCTATTACCTAGGGCATTGATCAGTTTCCATGACTTTCATTTATTTCCCTGTTGGGCTTCCTGTTGTTGAATTCTACTTTTAGAGTGTTAGGGGGGGTGTCTAAAAATTGGTTTGTAATATCTCAAGATATGAACCCAAGATGGATTAAAGACCTAAGTATGAACCCAGGACTCTAAAGATCATCAATGAGAAAATAGGGACCAACTAAAGGCCCTCACAGAGGACACAGACAGACTTTCCAGCACAATGAAAAACATACACACAGCAGAAGACCAACCAGAACACTGGAATCTTCTAAAAATGAGATATGAGCATTAAAAGAGTAGACAGTGAACCCACAGACTGGGAATTTTTCTTTTTTCTTCCTTGCCAATGACATCTCAGACAAGAGACTTATCTCCAAAATCTATAGAAAATGGTCACAGTTCAGTAAGAAACAGACAAATAAAAATGGGCAATGGACACGAACAGACAGCTCACCGAGGAAGACACCCTGGGCAGCCAACAAGCAGATGAAGAGATGCTCTTGACCATTAGCCACCCAAAGATTCGCATCAAGGCAACAAGGAGGTACCACTTCATCCCAGCACTGACAGCAAAGTTACAAGACACAACGGAGAATAACAAAACCCAGAGATCGGAACCCTCAGGCAACGCCTGCAGCTGCCAAAAAGGTGCGACTACTGTGGACAGCAGGATGAATGGTGCTGCCTCAAAACCCTCTGAAGAAGAAATCCCACAGGCCCCAGCAAACCCTTTGCTGGGTATAGACCGTAAAGAAGTAAGAGCCGTAACACAAGTAGACGTCGGCACCCCATGCTCCTCACAGCACTGTTTGCAAGAGCAGGAAGGGGACAAAGAAGCTGGAGTCCATGCTCACGACGGGAGGCCATGCATTCACTGCTAAACAGTCACGATGAAACGAGGCGCTTCATGACCCCGCTGGATTTGGAGAACATACGCTGAGTGAAATCAGCCACTCACAAAAGGACAAATGTTGTATGAGACTACCGATAGAAAGCGAAAAACAGGCCCAAAGTTTTCACAACAACAAAAATGAAACACCAGACTTAATAACCCAATGATTTCAATACCTATCTCTCCAAAAAAAGTACAGATGGCCAATAAGTACATGAAAATTTTCTCAAGATCATGAGTCATCAAGGCAATGCCAACCAAAACCACAATGAGACACCACTTTACACAAACTAGGGGGGGAAAACTCAGATGATAAAACCTGATCGTGGGAGTAGATGCACGAAGAGATACAGGCTTGGCAGGAGACATTTGTATCTGAATACTGACTTTTGCTATAGATAGATCTACAGATGGGGTGGAGCACACAGGAAACAGAGAACTTCTGAGACATAACCAAACACCTTGAGGAAATGAGTCGCTGAGCTTAAGGAAGCAGAACCATCGTTTCAGGGGACCCCAATATCCACTGGTATAACGTAATTCACGGAGACAATGTTCTATGACCTAGTTTGCTCTGAGCACAAGCCGAGGTCTTAAGAGTTTGTGAAGGGCCATCTAAGGTGTGATGCCTGGCCTCCATTCAGAGGAAAGAAGAGTGACAAACACCGAGACACCCGTGGAAACCGCCGCCGTCCAGGAACCGATGGCCCATGCAAACATCCTCAACTATGAGACCAGGATGTGGACGGTGCCTGGCGGCCACTGCCAAATACCCAAAAAGAATCCTATTAAAAGGTCTCGAATAGAGTGGGGGGAATGTGGAGACCAGGCTGATTGGTCAAACAGGAGACTGACAGGGCCCTCAAGACAATGGGTCTTTCCCTGGAGGTCAGTAACTGACCTCGTGCCCACATTACAATCACCTGCCATTTAGAGTGAAGAGGAGAAAGTTCAGAGGGCAGGGAAGGGGGAGGAAAGAGAACAGGAAACTCAGAGAGCTAGAGAAATACGTGATGCCACACTGACGGGATCACAACGGATGAGTTGAATCAGAATGTGTATGAATTGTTGAATGGAAACTATGATCTGCTCTGTAAACCTTCACCTCATTCACAACAAAAATACTTAAACCTGTTCACAAGGATGGTGAGAGAGTGAAAGCTCTATTTACTACTGGTGGGAAAGTTCAATGGTACGTCAAGTTTACAAAATAGTCTGAAGCTTCCTCTAAAAGTTCAATATAGAGCCAGCACATGACCTGGTAATTTTATTCCTAGAGAATTTTATTCCGAAAGAAATAAAAAATATCTATCCACACAAAAATTTGTAGATAAAATTTCCGAGCAGTATTATTATAAGAGCCCGAAAGTGAGCACAACCCAAATGTCTGTCCACTGGTGACACACAAACTGTCAACCATTCATACAGCAGAATGTGATTCAGCTGTAAAATGAAACACTGACAGGGAGAGGCTGTGACATGGATGAACCTTGAAAGCATTATGCTAAGTGAAAGTGACGAGGACTTGAAGCATGTGCTGATGGAGATCAAGGATGCCAGCCTTCCGTATGGGTGCCAACTCAGTGTAAGGAAGACCCAAGT